GGTGTCTGTCCATGGACTGTAGGGGGTTGTAATTTCCATTGTCTGCCTGTTGAGGAGTATTCTACAGAAACTTTCAGGTGAAGACACATTTTGGAGATGGGTACAATTGTCTTGAGTGTGCCATTGCATAGCCAGTTTAACAAGGTAGCATCTGTTGTTTGCTAAGCACAGAACCGGTGTGCAGAGTCTATGCAGCATCAAGAACCATTATTTTGTGGCCGAGGAAATGGCTCCTTGCCTGAGAGCCCTTACCCCTCACAGTCGATTGCTTCAGTGTGGATTACAGCACCCACAGAAAAGTCTTCCCTCCTGTGATGCCTGTGCTGAGAGAAGTGGGCCCACAGAAAGGATCCTGGGGAGCCCTGAGGCCAGCCAGCTGGGAAAGAAGCAGTGAGAGGTGCTGTCTCAGGGAATAAGGCAGAGACTAACAGAGGAGGACAGAGGACACTCAGTGTCCATTGCCCCAACCCCAGAATCATTAGCTCACAGATCAATCACTTTGCTATTGTTTTTCCCACCCTTTCTTATTTAATTACTCTTCAAAACTATTATTGTTTGAAACTTCATGCTTGGTCAGTTTCATTTCTACTTGACTTCCCTCCGACTTGTGCCATGCTCCTTCTCTTACTGGGTAAGTCCCTGCTGTAGTGACTGTTGTATTGCTGTGAAGAGAGCATGGCCAAGGCACAACTATTATAAAAGGAAACACTTACCCGGGGACCCTCCTTCAGTTTTGCAGAGTTAGCCCATGGTCCTCACGGCAGGAAGTGTGGCAGCATGCAGGCAGACATGGGGCCGGAGCCTGTGTCCTGACCCACAGGCAGCAGGCAGGGAGAAAAGGAGAGAGCAACACTGGCAAGGTGGCACACCTCCCCCACAGGTCCTCCTCACACCGCTCACCTTCCTGGCAAGGTGGCACACCTCCCCACAGGTCCTCCTCACACCGCTCACCTTCCTGGCAAGGTGGCACACCTCCCCACAGGTCCTCCTCACACCGCTCACCTTCCTGGTTGCAAGTATTTAGGCCTGTGGGGCCATCTTATCTAAACCAGCCCCCTGCTCTTTCCACGTCTTTGCTTGTTGGTGTTTTTGTTATCCAGCCTCTTTGGCTTTGATTAGCATGGCTTGCCTGGGTGTGTTTACATGGACACTGCGATGTGGTGACATCACTGAAGAAGATGGCCTTCCTTCTTGCCCTCATCTCTCCCTGCCTGCAGTAAGTAGGGCTGGGGCCTGAGCCAGTTTGTACTTCCAGTGTGACTTGAGACAGAGGCCCGCTCTCTGCCGGTTTGCCCTCCCATGATATTTCTTACTGTGAAAGGTAGAAGTCAATCAAAGTCTTCAGTTAGGACTTTGATAGTTGGGATTTTACTTCGTGAAAAATTTCAGCCATCATTTTCTACAGTTAGAAAACGGTGTTAATTTGGTTACCTCCTGGCCATGGTATCTCAATTTGTCCTCTAAACACAAGCTGAAATCAAAATAACATTTACGTTTCTCAGAAAAACTTAATTAACAAATACAGATAGAGTCTCTAATTAGTTCAAGTTTTAGAGTACTTGATTGCCTCTTGTAAGGACTATAATTTGTAGGACCCTCCCTAAATACTTTATTTATTCAAATTTTTTCAGGCAAGTGTTGACATGTAGATATTTTACATGTGTCTTACCTTAAACCATGATTTTTCTTCTCAAGTTTATAGTGTATTACCCACGCAGGGCAGTAAACCACACACATGCAGGCGTGAGGTCATCCACCGTGCCCTGCTAAATTTATTGTGACATTATTGGTTGTTTTGTTACTTAGACACCTGTTAATTAAAGAAATCCAAACCCTTTGTGTATAAGGGGTGGGACCTCCCCCAAAGCCATGCTGTGTGTGGGTTGAGCACGCTGTGGCTAGAAATGTGCTGATCACATTGGCGACACGACTGGTAAAGCAGTGCAAACAAATGGTGGACGTCCAGAGCGGTGGACGCGAGGTCAGCCTAGGACCCAACAGTCCCAGGGCGGTGTGCACTGAGGGTCTAACAGACTCACCACGGCCTGAACTTCAAAGTGCTGTAAACCACAACAGCAACCAGGAGATAGAAGAGTTTAGGGTATCTGTAATCCACAGATTACTTGAAAAACCAGAGAATGTGAGGTATGAAAAAAAAAGAAGTTTCCATAACTGAAACATAGTCTGGGGCAATGTTAGAATTAAGTAAAATTTAATGAAACTTAATCAATGGAAAGCTTTTAAATATTTAATTTATGGGTCACTGCTGGCAGTTTTTATATCCCCAATTTACCATATTTCCGAAGAGTTAATAACTAGATTGCAAATAAGATATCACTGTCGATCGGCTTAAGCAATAGAATACTTCCATGGATACACGAATAAACCAGAGATGTAAGTTGTGACCAACATGTGTCTGCAGGAGCAGGAGGAGGGAAACCCCGAAGCTCCAGAGGTTTGGTGGACCCATGCGGTGCAGTTCCCAGAGACAAAGCAGAGGGCTCTAAGAGGGAGCAGGGCTCTTTGCGGAGCTCTGAGATGTCCGGGAACAGTTCACAACACACAGCGTTTGAAAAGCAACGTAACAAGTGAAGATTGACTTTACACACGGAAGTCAGGCGTGAGCAGAGACACAGCCGGGGACGCCCAGTCTGTGAAGTGGGAGAAACACACTGGGAGGGCTGAGCAGAGTGCAGCACACACTTAAAGAACACACTGCTCACACACGTGTTCACACAGCGCTCTTGCTGACTCTCCTGTGCAGTGCCATGGCCACTATGATCACTTGGGAATGCCTGTCGTTTGTTGACAGAAGACATGGGTTTTTTCAGGTGATGCGTCTCTAGTAGGAGTAACCAACAGTATTGCAATAACTTTAGATGGGTACAGAATCTAATTCACAATTTTCTTATGGTTTTCTGGCCTCTGTGGATCCGTATGACAGCAGAGTTGGGAAGAGAATAGTCGGTGAATACACAGTCGTATGTGGTAATAGCTATACTTTACAAACATTTGGCCAACTTATTTGTGGATGGTTCTCCAAGGTAGATTTATGATGAAAAGTACGAAAACATATAAAATGTGATGTGTCCCATTGATGGCAAAATAAGAAAAAATTTAGATGTTTCCACAAAGGACAAGAATGATGTTTGATTTTGGCTTTCACTTCAAGGCAAAGCTGGGGTACATCCTGTCACCCCTTAGCCTTCCTTGTGATGCTGGGGCCAGGGGCTGGCCTGCAGCAGACTTGGGGATGTTGCCAGGAGGTTTTCGCTCATGAACTTCACATCCTGTACTGCTGTTCTGATAACCTAGTGCCTGAGAACACGCCTCACCAGTGTACATGATTTCAGATGATACTGACCATCTTTTGTTTTCCATATTTGTTATCCCACAGCCCACCGACTTCCTAAGCAACATCTAATTTCTGTTCTGGAATGTTCGCTGGCCAGCTCAGATTTAAGAGCTTTTTGTTATTATTGATTACAATTTATTCACTTTGTATGCTGACTGTACCCTCTCTCTCATACCCTCCCTCCCTTTACTCCCTCTATGTCTCTCCCCTAGTCCACTGATAGGGGAGGTCCTCCTCCCTTCCATCTGACCCTAGCTTATCAGGTCTCATTAGGACTGGCTGCATCATCTTCCTCTGTGGCTTGGCAAGGCTGCACAACCCCAGGGGGAGGTGATCAGAGAGCCAGTCACTGAGTTCATATCGGAGAAAGCCTGCTCCACCTACTAGGAACCCCATGTGGAGACAGAGTCTATGGGCTACATCTGAGCCAGGGTTTTAGGTCCTCTTCATGCGTTGTCCTTGGTTGAGGTATCAGTCTCTTCAGGACCCCAAGGCTCAGTTTTTGTGACTCTGTTGGTCTCCTTGTGGAGCTCCTGTCCCCTCCAGGCCTTTCTATCTCTTCCTTCTTTTATAAGATTTCCTTCACTCTGCCCAAAATTTGCCTATGGTCTCAGCTTCTGCTTTGATACCTCTATCAGTAGAGTCTTTGAGAGGCCCTCTGTGGTAGGCTCCTGTCCTGTTCCCTGTCTTTTCCCCAGCTCTATTCATAATAGCCAGAATCAGAAAACAACCTAGATGTACCTCAGCTGAGGAATGGATATAGAAATTGTGGCACATTTACGCAATGGAATACTACTTAGCAGTTAAAAACAAGGAAATCATGAAGTTTGCAGGCAAATCATTCTGAGTGAGGTAAACAAGAAGCAGAAAGACACACATGGTATATACTCACTTATAGGTGGATATTAGACATATAATATAGGATAAACATACTAACATCTGTACACCTAAAGAAGCTAAGCAAGAAGGAAGATCCTGGGTAAGATGATCAATCCTCATTCAGAAAGACTAAGGCACTTTGCACAGGTTCCTTCTGGCCTTTCCTGGTTTGCCTTTCCTGGACTCTCCTCTGCTCCCCACCCCTCCCTCCCCTCCCCTAGCACCGGACCATGGCATGCAGGGAAGTGCAGGGAAGTGGAGGAGACTTTAGCTGTCTGCTGCATTCATATCTCGGGGTTCATTTCTTACTGATGTGGGCTGTAAATTAAAGCAGCTCGTTGTTTCTTTCAACGTGCAGAATGAAGTAAATGCACACAAACATGTCCTTCCTGGTTTCTTATGCAGTTGAGTTTCTCTCAAACTAGTGACTGTCGGCTCTGTTCATTGAAGGCAATTGAAGGCATGGTCATTACCGGAGAAAGAAGTGTCTCTTAGACACACTTAGTGTGTCATAGCATTCCACGTGGAACTCATGGCTCACATTTCTGACTTACTTTTCAACAGGTCTTGATATCATAATCTATGTGACAGTCTTCATTAATAATTTAATAGTTTGGTATTCTGGGTAAAGTTCTCATGTTAGCGTACATCTGATTTATTGTGTGGTGAGTCCGATTGTTTTGCTGACTTAGGAATATCATATTTATGAATTTTGAAGAACTGAGGCTCAGTAAATTTCAAACTCTCTTATATTTTGATTTTTCAGATTGCATTTTCACAACACAATACAATCATGGACCTTGTGCAGTTTTTTGTCACCTTCTTCAGGTAATTGACTTTTGCTGACTTAACTCATTAACCCTGTGTGTGTGTCTGTGTCCGTGTGTGAATATACAGTCCGTCTGTCAGATCATTTGTCAGTTACTTACCTTATTGTGCCACTTCTTGAACGCATGTTACGGATGTCCTCTAGAGCACATGAATTATACATGTAGTGCATTTGGATAAGGTCTTTTTACTCTTCCGTGCCTGGTAGATTCCATAGAAAGACAATCAGTTTGCATTCTCATTTCATATCAATGATTAGAAATTAATTAATGAAATTAATAGTACACATACCTTGAGGATTAGTTAAATCTTCTAGAATTGAATCAGTTCAATTCATTATTGACTATTTATCATTTGTGCTTAGTGATGTGTGTTGGAAAAGAAAAGGCTTCTGCCTTGAACAAATCTCTCATGTAGAAGTATTACAAATGACTCTGAGTGAAGTCCCAGATCAGTAGTTAAGTGACATATTAAAGTAAGTTCTAAAGATAAAACGTGTTCCAAACTTGGGAAATGCCATGTATTACATGATACATTAACCTCTGTGGATTGATTTTTTAAAAAAATTTTAATACTACTTTTTATTGTGAATAATATTAACACAATGCCTTAAATGAAAACTTAATTCATAATTTATATCTTTTTAAAAATTTTTAAATTTTATTATTAAAATTTCTTAAATTTTATTATTTATTACAATTTATTCACTTTGCATCCCAGCTATAGCCTCCTCCCTCATCTCCTCCCAATCCCATACTCCCTCCCTCTTCTCCTCCCATGTCCCTCCCCTAGTCCACTGATAAGGAAGGTCCTCCTCCCCTTCCATCTGACCCTAGCCCATCAGGTCTCATCAGGACTGGCTGAATCATCTTCCTCTGTGGCCTGGCAAGGCTGCTCCCCACTCAGGGGGAGGTTAGCAAAGAGCCAGCCACTGCGTTCATGTCAGAGACAGCCCCTGTTCCCCTTACTAGAGAAGGTTAAACATACTAAAATATATAGTCTAGTTGTAAAGAAGCTAAACAAAAAGGAGGACCCTAGGGAAGATGCTCAATCCTGATTCAGAAGGGCAAAGAGGATAGATGTCCGAAGCAGAAGAAGACAGGAACAGGATAGGAGGCTACAACAGACAGACTCTGAAAGACTCTACTGATTGAGGTATCAAAGCAGAGGCTGAGACTCACAGCCAAACTTTGGGAAGACTACAGGGAATCTTATGAAAGAAGGGGGAGATAGAAAGACCTGGAGGGGATAGGAGTTCCAAAAGGAGACCAACAGAACCAAAAAATCTGGCCCCAGGAGTCTTTGCAGAGACCTATACTCCAACCAAGGACCATGCATGGAGAGGTCCTAGAACCCCTGCACAGATGTAGCCCATAGACAGCTCAGTCTTCAAATGGATTAATTTTTTTTTAAAGGACGCAGCCTCTTGAAATTTTCGATATGCTGTTTGACATGCCTTTCTTGAAGAGAGGGTCAAGAAGCGCAACCCTGCAGGAAATGTCCTTTTCCCTCTCCTGGGTGTAAATGAAGAGTCACTGGGGTTGGGCAAGATGGTGTCAGATACAGCATCTGTGCCATGTGACCTCAGATAAGTTAGTTTGTAAACAGTGTCCTGTATGTGCACAGCCCAATGCTGTCTTTTTGGCCCCTCTTATAAGACGTAGCCTGCACCGCCACACACAACTGCAGAACAGAATGTAGTATAACTTTCTGCCCACCAACTTGTCTCTGGTGACGTAGCCATCAAGACCCCATACTACTTCACTCTTGCAGTGTGGTAAACCAAGCGATCATTCCCTTATCGCTATCTTGCTGAGATGTTTATATAGTTCTGAGGTCCCGCATCTTCTTCACGGGAGTCTACAAATACTTTCTGTTAAGAGACAGTGGGCAACTTTTCAGACTTCATGAACATGCTGTATCCTTGCCTCTGTGCGACGTGCTTGCTCTACAGCTGAAGGAGCCAAGAGCCATATGGCTCTGAGCAGGACTGGCAGCAATCCAGGAAAACATCTGTGGCACGAATTGAATCTGCGAACCTTGTTTTTGCAGTTTTTGAGCTAGCTCATGCCTGAGTACATTTACTAACGAGAAACTAGCTTCTGTGGAGATAGGATTTTCTGTCATCCATTAACTGATTGTCCTTTATAATTGAGCTGAAATCTGTCCTCTCATAATCTGTCTTTTGATTCATCCACAGGGGCCCATATAGAACATGTCTGATCTCTCATCTCCGCCTACTGCTCAGTATTTTAAATTCTTCTCTTCACTTCTCACCTTCTGTTCCTTTATCTACCTTTTCAAAATCTTTGCCGTATTAGTCACTCTGCTCTAAAAATAAGCTTGTCTATATGTACAATCTAAAATAAGCATGCTTGTCTATGTGTACAATCTAAAATAAGCATGCTTGTCTATGTGTACAATCATTCTAATGTTTCAACACTCTGCTGTCAGCGTATTTACCCGTCACAGGTGCAGAAATTCATTCATACTTTAAACATTTCCCTTAAAGGTGAAACTTGAAGAATCATCTTAAAATATTTATGTTTTATGATATTGTTCCTTATAATACAAAGGATGATAGCATATTCATATATTTTTAGAAAACACTAGAGTTACAATTGAACGAGAATTATTTTTTTAAATAATGTATTTATTACTATTTTATATAGATTGGTGTTTTGCCGGTATGTTTGTGTGTTGGGGGGGGTGTTGATTGCTCAGGAACTGGAGTTATAGATAGTTGTGAGCTGCCATGTAGTACTGGGATTGAACTTCAGTCCTCTTAATTGCTGAGCCATCTCACCAGCCCGAATGAGCATTACATTTCATGTATTAAATAAAAACACTTGATGTAGAATAGTGTGGACCAATGTATACTGGAAAGTTCACAGGGAAAAAAAATCACAGGAGAATGGACATGCAAATTATCTAAATATTTAAGGCTTGAAGCTTCTGAATCTACATGCATATATTTAAGTTCAGCAGGTCTTTCATTAAGTAAAAGAAAGCTAGTTCAATGTGTACCATTTATTAGCAGTGATTCTCTATCGGTTGCTATTTTAGAGAAAGTGAATTACAATATTCTAATCATCATGTGCGATCAACTGCGTTTGATGGGCTTTTTGTCATTTAAATTTCTTCTAGTAGTGAAATGTAAATCAGATAATTTATTGTTAAGCAAACACATGGACAGACTATTTTGAAGTACATTGATTTACTCTCTTAGAAGGCTACCACTAAATTTTAAACGTTTATGGGCGTTCTCTAGTCAGGCCGTCCTGCCTCTGCTGCTGAGTCTAACCCAGTTACTGGGTCAGCACATGAGCGACTGAGTCAACTTCCGCTCACATCTCGAATACCCTCTCATCATGTGCTTTACCTCCTTAGTTTGGAGACATCTGGTGGCAAACCCTATTGGACCAGTGTTAGGGAAATGACGTACAGACACAGCTTGGCTCCGACTTTGGGCCCAGTCTTTGTGAGCTCTTAAGCAGGTCGCCATGCTTCTTAGAATGTCAGTCTTCCCATTTGTATGATCTAAGGATTCTTCTTACTGCTGTTGGGGAATGTAATAAAACGTTTCAGGAAATGGTCATGGAAATGAGAGGAATTGGTTTCTCACAATATTTTTCTCTGTTATGTAAAAATGAAATAGCAAATATTTCTCAACCTGAAAAGTCTGGATTACTTAAGGAAACAAGTTAAATGTAAACATGACAGGGACATTTTTAATGCTGCCACTAATTCTCATTGTCTGCTGGGTGTAGCTGCTGTCCGAACCAGGTTGTAGCAGTCTTGGAAGCTGTCACTGTGTTTTCCTACTTGACTTGTTTTACCCTATTGGCTGGGGTGTAATTTACCAGTTCCTCAACTCTATAAGTGCCAACTGAATCACGCTTAAACACTAGGAAGTTGCTACCAGATGAGGTCATAGCCACAGTCGGCCTTCTGTGAGCCATGGAACCTATTACCTCTCGTCAGCCTGTCAATACCAAACTTCAAGAAGCTACCACGGCATTTTAAGCCTTTAAGTGTTGCTGTCACTTCTTAACGCATACCTGATATTATTCAAATGTATTTATTTCTCTTATGTGCTGACTAGTTTTATGTCAACCGGACCCAGGCTACAGTATTCTCAAAGGAGGGAACGTCAGTTGAGAAAATGCCTCTGTAAGATCCTGATCTAGGGCATTGCCTTAATTAGTGATGGATGTGGAAGGACCCAGCCCATTTTCAGCGGGGCCATCCCTGGGCTGGTCTCCTAGGTTCTGTGAGAAAGCAGGCCGAACAAACCATGGAGAGCAAGCCAGCAAGCAGCACTCTCCATGGCCTCTGCCTCAGCTCCTGCCTTCAGGTTCCTGCCCTGCTTGAGTTCCTGGCCTGACTGCCTTTGAGGATGACCTGATCTGTGGAGCTTCAAGTGAAATAAACCCTTTCCTCCCCAAGCTGCTTTTGGTCATGCTGTTTCGTTACAGCAATGGAAACCCTGACCTAGGACATCTCGTCTGCCCTGTGTGTTCCTGTGCACCCTGTGTGAGATGGTTTCAGTTGTCAAGCGGACTCAATATGGGATGCCCTGGAAGGACATCCCAATGGAGAACTGTCTGGATTGGCTTTGTCTCAAGGCGGAACTCCGAGGAATTGCCTTGATTACTGTTCTTTGTTGTAGGAAGACCCACCTGGAATGTGGGTGCCACTGTTTTATGGCCTGGGTTCTGTCCTACATAAGGTGGGAAGAGCAGGCAGGACACTGGCCTACATGCGTGCATAGTTCATGAATCTGTTGCTCTCAGGTCTTGACGGTGAATGTTATGTGACTCACTGCTTCAGGTTCCTGCCACCTTGACTTTGCCCACAACGACAGTCTAGATTTGTGAGCCAAATTAACCCTTTTTCTCTTAAGTTGCTTTTGTTGGGATATTTTATCAAAACCCTTTTCAAGCTTTTATTAGTGAAATCTCTTGCAATTTAAGCCTTCTGTCAAAACACACACATGC